GATGGATGGATGGATGGATGGATGGATGGATGGATGGATGGATCAATGAATGAATGATTGGTTATTTGGTTGGCGGAAAGGATGGATGGATGGATGGATGAGTGAATAACTGGCGGAAAGGATGGATGGATGGATGGATGAGTGAATAACTGAATGAATGAGAAATAATTAAATGTTGGATTGACTCACTGACTGACCGATCGACTTGCTGACTGACCAACTGACTGACCCACTTACTGACCAATTTATCTCTAAGGACTATTTTATCAATTTCCTAAAATAGCTCTGATATGTTCTAATACCTTTTCAAATTCTTTCATAATTGTATCCAGGGAAGACAATATCTTCCTAAAACAACAAAACACACCTGAGCATTACTGTACATATATAAATACAATATCACCTTTAACTACAAATCTAGAAGCAATTTCATGGGTGGCATCTCTCACCACTGKGGTCTGGCTTCAAACCCCGACTCACACTGGATCACATGTGAGTCGAGTTTGTTCGTTGTGTTGTTTTCTCCCTTGCAATGAGGGCTTTTTCCGGGATCTCYGGTTTCCTCCCTCAGTAAAGATCAATATGTGAGTTGAGTGTTGTATGTTGTAAATATAGAATGTAGTGGYAGTGTGTGTGGAGGGAACCTTACAGAAGAGTCCCACATGGGAAGTGGTGGGTAATGGTTGTAAAATATAAGTTTTCATAAGCTTTATAATTTAATGTTTGACTGTCTTCTTATTGATCATGGATAACGTCTTAAAACATTTAAAACTCAAATGGAATCAAGATCTTGTCTAGAAAATGGTTTCATTGTAAAGTTTTGAATATTTTAAGATGTCATCCAGCTATGACGGATAAGAACATGCGTAATAAGTAAATTACGAGCCTTAGATGAAACGACTGAAGAAGAGTGCCATACAAGCCTTTCACAACTTCAAGTCRCGTAAAAAATGAGCCAGCTCAACTAGAAACTGTGGACAGCTGTTTCGGCCTGTATTGGGCCTCGTCAGCACAGTGTATCTAGTGAGCTGGCAATCCCACGAAAAAGTAGTACTAGATAGATGTGGCAGTGCGCCGTGTGGGATGGGCTCGGATATCAAATGATATCTATGACGGATAAGATGAGTCATTCAAATCTATGAGAAGCTCTCAAATGTCTTACCTTTTACTATGAGCAATGTAGCTCATACAGAATGGTCTCACGTAACCTCTTGCATGAATATCATAGAGAGTAAAATGATGGACCTAAAGACAATGCGTAGAACTGGTTTAGAATTACACATAGTTATTTTTAAATTTAGGTCTGATATGACAGTCCTTTATTGAGGTTTTTTCACTATGGATGTCATACTATCTTCAAATGTATAATTTCATTTTATTACCAAAAAAAGAGTTTTTTTGTTCACTTATTGGTTTATATATCTTTCTCTCTTCACTTCCTTTAGTCTTTTTTGCTTTTTACTTTTGTTCTTTTAATTGTTGATATATTCACTCATTGTTACATTAGTTTTTTAATGCATCCATTCCCATCTCTCTTCCTTCCTTCCTTCCTTCCTTCCCTCCCTCCTTCCATCCATCCATCCATCCATCCTCCCCCCACCCACACTTCCTTCCTTCCTTCCTTCCTTCCTTCCTTCCTTCCTTCCTTCCTTCCTTCCTTCCTTCTATCCATCCATCCACCCATCTGTCCGTCTGTCCTTCTGTCCATCCTTCCGTCCGTCCATTCGTCTGTCCATCTTTCCATCTGTCTGTCCCTCTGTCTGTCCCTCTGTCCATCCATCTACACATAACTTACAAATGCACATGTTCCAGATGTCTTTTCAGTGAGAACCAGTTGTGTATCCTCTTGAATAGTAAAATCTGAGTGTCTGAAACAAAGAAGAATTCTTAATAGCCAGGTATTATTATTTATTATTCATTATTATTTAACAAATAAAGCAGCTTTTTCCATGCTCCTAAGGAGAAGCATGAGCCGTGGGYGAGTGCTTCTCACACTTCTTGAGTGCTCACAGTGCTTCCTAAGTGTTTTATAAGTGAACGGAGCATGGAAAAAGCTGTTTTATTGGTTTTTTCATATAGCTACTAATTTTATTTCGGTACTGAATGTATAAATGCAAAAAGAAAGATGGTCTTAGGATCTAGCACTTGGCGCAAGCAGATGGCGTCAGCACTGTGCTCCATTCACTAATAAAGCATAGTTTTTGACCAATCAGCAAGCGGGTACTATCCTAAATATATAATAATATTATTTATGCCTACATACTTGTTTTGAGACTGGAAGTCCACTGACATCACATGTAGAGCAAATGCATTTTTGTCAAATGAGCCACCACCATTAGTTGGAATCRTCATCTGTAAGATAATCATAAAAGATATAAATCAATAATGTGAATAAATAAAAGGGAGCTTACTGTGGCTTTCAATACTTTGCGAACTCAGACAATTCAATGGCTTGTTGTGAAATTGTTTTTTAACTGCTGCCGGTCAAGAAAATAAGAGGTACACATTGATAATTTTTGATTAACAGCAGCAACAAAAAAAA